ATATTCCGCGCCCACACTGGAGCGTTGCCGAGGAAGCGCGGACTAACCAAATCCCAGGGCGGTCTGCCACGTCCCCACTTTATTGAAATCCCCGAAGTCTCCCTGCCCAGCGGCGTGCCCCACAGAACTTTAAAGTATTGGAACCCAATAGGGCTTGTAGAGCCCCAGGTCCCGCTCCAGAGCTCCTGCTGAGCGTCCGTCGCATCCACCAAAGGGAAAAAGAAAAAAAAAAAACACGTCCACCGGATTTCCGCTGAACCGAGCCCAGGGCAAAAAACGATGACGCTGACGATTAAACATCACTATTACGGCCTGGGAAGACCCGATATTATGATGAACCTTGCATTCCTACACCTCACTAATCTGTGCGCCCGCACCGGATAACAAATATCCAGCCAGGGAAACTGGGCCCCAGAGGCACATTCCCATCCGGCGATAGCAAGACGTGTCCAGTAGTGTCCAGTTGACCTTCGCCCGGTGACCAAAGCCAAGACGACACATAATATAGCCGACGACAGTATCCGGCGACCCGCCAAAAAGATTTAGGCAAATATATGCTAAAGACAAGGTAGTGTAACCCGAAATCGCAAGGCCCGTCAATGGGCAACAACCATAACCACTGCCAACCTTGCGAAATAACCCAGAAAGTTCAGAACTTTGATGAATCACGCAAATAATGCCATCGCCCCTCCCTCGTATTGCATGAAAAGCCCCCTAAATCTGCATGGAATGGCCCTATTGAATGTATGCAGGACACGATATGTAACATTATGTTAAAGGGTAGTTGCAGATATGACCCCTGAGTTTCATTCAAATACATATTGGACGCAAATATCGCGCCCAATGATACAATCGGGTATGTTAATATAAGGGATATTATGTTGGGTGAGGGGGGGGCCAAGACGTTTAGCAAGGCAGATTGCCCAAGTGGCGATCCCATTAGCCACGCGGCTTGTTCAACTGTCTCTCTAAGGAGAAGGAGTTTGCCATGAAGCTAGTTGTCGTTGGGACGGGTCAAGGCGGGTCCAATATCGCTGACGAATTCGTTGCTCTGGGACAATGGGTGTGGACGAATCGGAGGGTACGAATATTCACCGGTACCGAATCAGACCCAATCGAGAAGGGCGTATTTGCGGTGAATTTGGGTGCCGGAGACCTTTACGGTCTGGAGCACATTCCGCAAACTGATGACCACACTATTCTACTGGGTACGACTGATGAATTCCGGGGCCGCGGCGCCGGAAAAGTAAATGCCGACGGCGCCGAACAGGCACGCCGTGATTCTCGCAAGATAGTCGCGACCATTCGCGGATCAGGGGAGCTATACGCCGACGCTATTTTGTCATGCCATACCGAGGCCGCACCGGTTACGGACTCCGTTGCGTAATTGCTTGAACCTGCTCAAGGAGAGTCAAGAAGACCGGTCTAACGGTCTATGCCATGCTGGTGCTGCCCTTTGAGAACCAGTACGACGAACCGGACAGCGTTATTAACACTGCCACGTGTCTGAAAAAGATCCTGGAGAATTACAGAAGCCGACGCTGTCTTCGTTCCTGGGGACACCAGAAACAGAAGCTACGTTGCCGCAAGCAGGATGCCATGGGCGTGAACTTCGCGACCATTAACCGCGAAAATGTGCTTGACTCCTTCATGGATATTCTCTGTGTTGGTGAAGAAACGGACCGCAAGTACATCGGTGAGGTTCTTGACGCCAACGACGTGATCCGCATCCTGAAGGGCACTACCGTCATTGGTGTTAGCCATGCAGCCACTTCCACTTCAAGACCCATACCTCACCCGGTAAAAATGCCAGAAACGGCCAAAAGAGCAGCGGCCATCCGTTTGGACGTCGCGTGGGACACGAACGGATGTCAACAGCATTTTCTCTCGCGTTTCCAGCCCAATTGATGGCGGCGCCAGAACGTTGTTACCCAGGCCCTCTCCGAGCTTTCCCTGGACTGCGAATACGTGGAAGATGGAAAGGTTCTTTACGACGCTCAGCACGTTCTCGGCCTGTTCAGTGGACCCGCCATCGAGGCGACGGAAGAAATTGTTGAAATGATGGACAATACCTTCGCCGAGCTGGTCCCTGGTGCGGGTCGGCGCAAGGGAACGTACCCGGGCCGGACGTCCGACACCATCAGCGTAACTGCCATTGTGGCCAATCTTGGCGAGGGCAAGGCTATGGACCGTATTGAATGGTTCTACCGTGAAGCCGCCAACATGATGAACACTTCCCGTGACCGCCGGGAAGGCAGGGGAAGGCGCTGGGAAGACATTTCCAAGCTGTCCGATATTCTGCCTAACCTTTAAATAGAACTTACAAAGAAGCCCGGCGCTTTTGGCCGGGCTATTGATGTACGACCGCATTTTTTGGAGGCAAAATTGAGAGTCTCAAGAATGCCGGAGTATCGCAACGGCTCCGGTTCTCCCATTATTTTGATATTGGTGTTGTTGGCCGTCCTAATAGTTGGTGGGGTGGTCATTTATCTGCTCTTGGGCAGCAATTCTGTTAGCCCCTCCGATGAAATCGACCAGCCTGCGGCTCCAGTACAGCCGCCGCCCGTTATGCCTGCTGTGGCGCCTCCTGGCGATAGCGGACCGTTGCCGACCCTGCCACCAATTAATCCTCCTCCGCAGGTAGATGCTACCTACCTGGCTCCGGAAGTTCTTTACGGGGAAGTCCTTTCAGAAGGGTTTGTAGACCTGGAACTGCTGACGGGTCGGGTTCGAACTTTCTTCACCTTCCAGGTGGATACCAGCACCCAGAATATAGTTCTCTTTTTTGGCCTCTATGATGGGCCCGGCCACGCCATCAGTCGTTCAATCGTGGTTGAAGACTACAGCCAGTCGGAACTCATCAACAACGCGGAACTTACGGTCTACTATCCGGACGCACCGCCTACCGTCATCCGGTTTGATCGGGAAACTGGCACCGTGGTTTCCAGCCAGTTCTACACCACGCAGCCCTATGGCCCTGGGTTGTTCTCTCCACAGATGCGGATTGCCCTGATCCGGCAAAACCTACCCCTGCAAAACAGCGACGGCAGCATTCACGCCGACATGCAGCTTGACCCGACGGGAGTATCCGACTTGTCCGGCTACCGGGTAACCCGGAAAGACGCTACCACCACTGAGAGCGCCTTGACCGAAATCCAGGCAATAATTGACCAACTGGAAAGCCGGAGGCCCCGCTCCTAGGCACTTCTCCGACAGGCCCAACAGGGAAGACCACAAAAATGAACGCCGCGCTTCATCACGCGGCGTTCTCTCTTTCTCACTTGCTGACTGTTGGAAGGGAAGATGCTCTTCTTGCCCCCTCATCCTCTACTCGAGACCTCTACTATAGATCTTCAAGTTCGGCCAGGATTGCCTCATCCATAGTAAAGCTCTCCCTGGTTGTGGGGAAGGAACCGTCCTTGACCTCCTGAGCATACTGGCAAAAGGCATCCCTGATTGTCTGTCCCAGGTTGGCGTACTGCTTGGCGTGTCGCGGTACAAAATCGGTAAACAGGCCGAGCATATCGTGAAGCACCTGCACCTGTCCGTCGCAGTCCGGGCCGGCACCGATTCCAATGGTAGGGACGGTCAATTTCTCGGAAATGAGACGAGACAAGGGGGCAGGAACCAGTTCCAGAACAACCGCGTAAGCCCCTGCTTCCTCCAGGGCCAGAGCATCCTTAACGATCTGGCTTGCCTGCTGGGCAGTGCGGCCCCGGACCCGATAGCCGCCGAAGGCGTTCACCGACTGGGGCGTTACCCCGACGTGGCCCATAACCGGGATGTCGCACTGTACGATGCGTCGGACGGTTGGGGCTATGTTCTCCCCGCCTTCCAGTTTGACGGTGTGCGCTCCTCCCTCCTGGAGAAGTCTGGCCGCGTTGCGCAGCGCTTCTGAGGGGTCCACCTGGTAGGTCATGAAGGGCAGGTCGGCAACTATCAGGGAGTTCTTGTTGCCCCGGGCCACCATTTTGGTATGGTGGATGATGTCGTCCATCGTAACGGGGATGGTTGACTCGTGCCCCAGCACCACCATGCCCAGGCTGTCCCCCACCAGCACTATTGGAATTTCGGCGGCATCGGCAAGGACGGCAGTGGTGTAGTCGTAGGCAGTTATCATGGGGATCTTCTCCCCACGCTGCTTCATTTCGGCGATGTGCCTGACGGTTATTTTCGCCATGCCTGCAACCTCTTACCTTGGGAGTGGGAACCCGTATTCGGCCAGTTCCTGGCGGAGGACTGTTTCACCATCTGAGTTCAGCCCGACTTCTCTCGCCAGCGGCAGGGATTGGTGCGTAAGCGCCGCATACAGCCCGGCCACTTCGGGTTTGGTGTTAACCAGCGCAGACAGGTGCCGCGTTACCGTAGCAACATCACCCCGCACCAGCGGTCCGGTTACGCTGGCCTTCGGTCCCAACCGCGCCACATTTTCCAGGGTGGCCCGGGAAACTGCAACCACCGCATCCAAGCCTTCCTCTTCGGTGAACCCAGCGGCCTGCCACACCTCTACCGCCGCCTGCAACAGGGTTACCAGGTATCCGCAGCTCAGGACTGCCGAGGCGTGATAAAGAGAGCGCAACTCGTCGTCCATGGTTACCGCTCGCCCGTCCAGGGCCTCAGCGAGATCCCTCAAGTAACCCTCCAGCACTTCCTCCGCCGAAATAGCGAAGGTTACGCCAGATAGCCTTGCAATGGCCTGGTCCGGGCTTTCCAGACCGGCAAAGGTCTGGAAAGGATGAAAGGCGCCGGTATTCGCGCCCTGGTCGGCCGCCCCCTTCAAGATGTCCCGTCCCGACGCGCCGCAGCAGTGAACCACCTCATGACCAGTACGCCACCGGACTGAGGCCGCCACCGGCGCAATGGCCGCGTCTGGAGTGGTGATAAACACCAGGTCGGAATTGTCCGCTACTTCCTGCGCTGTCGTGCAGACACTGCACCCCGGTACGCTGGCTGCCAGGGCTTCGGCAGACCCGTAGCTGCGGCTGGACACGGAGCATATCTTGTAACCCAGTCGGTACAGTGCCAGTGCCAGGCCTGAGCCCGTGACCCCGGCTCCAATGAAACCGATTCGCCGCTCTTGCTGGTCAGCCTTCGCCATTCAGTTCACTCACTGCTGGTATTCCCCCCAGTCCAGTGGCGGTCAGGACGGCACGCAGCACCGCCTGGGCAGTTACCTCGACCGCTGCCGTACCCAGGGTAGTCAGGTCACCGGGCGGGTGGCGCTGGTTGGTGGCCATCGTAAACAAAGTATCCCCATCCCGGCTGGTGTGGCACGGGCGGATGGCCAGGGCCAGGCCATCATGACTGATTCGGGCCAGCCAGTTGGCTTCCTCCTTGGTCAGGGTGGCATCGGTGGCAACTACTCCAATCGTTGTATTGCTCATCGGCGGCGCCACGCTGGCTTCCACTTGGGCCTCCCCGCGAGTCAGCACTTCGACAGCAGGGAGAAATCCAGGGCCCGACTCGCGCCGGGGGCCGGCAACTACCTGGCCGGTGCGGTGGTCCACCGCATCGCCAACGGCATTTACGGCGATAAGGGCAGCCACAGTATTCCCGTCGGGCAGGGTCATGGCGGCACTTCCGATGCCCCCTTTAACCGCCCGGTCCGGTCCCAGGATTTTCCCCACAGTGGCCCCGGTGCCTGCGCCCGTAGTGCCTTCGGGAACCGGTTCTGTGTTAGCAGCCTGGGCGGCGGCATACCCTTCGGCTGGCCCGGGCCTGACTTTATGGGTAATCAGATTCAGATCGAATAGAATGGCGGAAGAGACGATGGGCACAAGCGCGGAACCAACCCGTACGCCAATGTCCTGCTCCTCCAGGTAACGCATCACGCCGGACGCCGCATCCAGTCCATAGGCGCTACCCCCGCTCAGGACAATGGCGTGGACGCGGTCAACCCGGCGCATGGGCTGCAACAGGTCGGTTTCCCTGGTTCCTGGAGAACCGCCGCGCACGTCCACGCCCGGCGAGGCGCCGGCGCGGCAGATAATGGCGGTGCAGCCCGTGGCGTTGGCAAGATCGGTGTAATGCCCGACTTCAAGGCCAGACACAGCAGTCAAAGTGGTGTTCATCTATTGCCCTCGACCAACAAAAAGGGTGATGCAGGGAAGTTGGTGGACAAAAAAGAAGCCGCGCCAACTGGTGGCGCAGCTAACTCAGCTGTGTTAAACGATAAATGCATTCGATTTTGGCCGTCTCGGTCAACATAGGATCCCAGCGGCCCACCGTGCCTGGATAAGAACTGCCGGAGGTTCCGGCGGCTAACCCCCCGTACGGGTGGATTGCAATGGGAGTTTAAGGGCAGGGTATGGAGGTGTCAAGCAAAGAAATCTTGGCCGGGGACATCACCCTCAGGGGGAAACGGAAGAACTCAGCCGTTCCTGCAGGGTCTGGCTGTATTTATGACAACCCAGCGGGCGGTTCGCCTGTCTCCACCTCCGCAATAAGTTCCTCGGCGTACTGCATCACTCTCTCTGCCCTTTGGGGGTCGGCGTCGCGGCCTTCCAGGTAAATCCGCAAAGCCTGAAGGGGTTGCAGACCTTCCGACTCACCGCTGGACAGACGGGTGCGTCGGGTTCCTTCAACCTCCCGGCTCACGGCAGCTATGTAATGGGCAGAGTGCAACGCCTCCCGGATGGCGCCTTCTCTCAACAAAGGTTCCGCTTCAGCGGGCAGCCGTATCCTTACCCGCACCACGGCATCGGTTACCTCATGTCGGGCAATGGCTCTGAGGACGGCGGCAGCGGGGTCAGGCTCCCCGGGGGCAATGGTAACGTCAACTGTCACGAAGCGCCGGGCGTTGACTGGCTGGAATTGAAAGTCCACCAGTCGCTGCCCCTGGAGCGCGGCTGGGTCCAGTTCAACGACGCAGAAACCCTTTTCGTCGGCCTCTTCCGAGAAGTCCACCCGCTGCAAGCTGCCCGAATAGGCCACGATGGGCGATTCCCGCCGCAGAACCTGGTGCTTGTGAATGTGGCCCAGCGCAACGTATTCCAGTTCGGGGCGATGAACGGCACTGGCCAGCAGCACGTGGTCGTTGCCCAGCATCATGGACCGCTCGGTGCCGACGGTGGAGCCATTGATTGTTACGTGGCCCGTCAAAATAGCCGGAATGCCTGGGTCCAATTCGCTGACTCTTTTTCCTATGGCCTGGGTCATACGGCTTTCAATCTCGGCACGGACCTCGTCGATGGTCAATCCCCGGGACTCTTCGCGGGTGAGCAGGCGGCCCCGGCGAGGCCAGGGCACTGCCACTACCTGCAGGGGCCCGACCGGGGTCTGGACGAGATAAGTCTGAAGGTTGTCGCCGATAATCACGTTGGGCACCTGCAGAGTGGGGAAGATCTCCACGGCATTGGCACGACTGCCGGCGTTGGGCAGGTCGTGGTTTCCCACCAGCAGAAATACGGGTATGCCGGCCGACGCGATCCGAAAGAGCCGACTGGCAAACTCCCGCTGGTGCGTTTGCGACGGATCCCTGCCCTTGTAGGCGTCCCCGGCCAGCAGCACCAGGTCAACGCCCTGGGTCAGGGCAAACTCCACCACCTCATCCAGGGATCCCAGGAAATCGCCTAGCCGAGTGGACAATCCGGTGGACGGGTCTATTCGTCCGTAGTTTTCTACGCCGATATGCAAGTCTGAAAAATGGAGGATTCGCAAAGTAAACAAACCATGTTGGTCAAGGTGTAGCAAAGGCGCCTTCAGTATAGCAAACCGATCATTGCCCCACCCCATTTATATGCCCTGGCCGTTGGTATTGCTGCCTGCAATACCAAGAGTGCATATTTATTAGGGTTATACTTGTTATTGACATTTTTGCTGTTACTCAATAGAATCAAATAGGCCAATTTGCGAGACAATGGCCGGATTCTGCCATCAGAAAAAAAGGGCGGGCATGAATGACCACTGTTAAGCAACTTTATTGCCTTCAAGAAGTTGACCTCGACTTGGACGGAGTCAACGGCCAGATAGTCAAAGTAGAACGGGAACTTGAGGGCCGGTTGTCCCTGGGCAAGATCGAAGAATCTCTGGAGCAGGCAAAGACCAAGCTGCAGGAGATCCAAACCGCGCACCGGGAATTGCAGCGCGAAACCGAAAGTCAGCGGGAGAGGTCCAACAATCTGGACACCCAGCTTTACGGTGGAGATGTGGCCAATCCCCGGGACCTGGAAACCCTGCAGTTAGAGGCAAACAATGTTCGTCACATGCTGGAGCAGATGGACGTGCGTCTCCTCGAACTGTCTCTCCAGGCCGAAGACGCCAGGTCCAGCATTAGCGGGCTGGAGCAGCAACTGTCGGATACCCAGACAGCCTGGGAGACCCGGCAAGCCCAGTTGTGGCAACAACTGGAGGAACTGACCAACAGGCAGGAAAGCCTCGTAAAAAACCGCACCAGCCTGGCCGCCGGAGTTGATTCGGTGGAACTGTCCCGTTACGAAGGCCTGCGGCGCAACAAACAGGGAAGGGCCATCGCCCAAGTCGTACGGGGCCTCTGCCAGGCCTGTCGAATGTCGCTCCCCTCCCAGCACCTGCAGCACGTCCGCTCTGGCCGCCAAACGGTGCTTTGCAACAGTTGCGGCAGGATGTTGCTCCTGGGGTAAGAGACGGCAAGTCAGGCCGTTCAAGCTGAAATTGTAGGGGCAGCCCTGGGCTGCCCCTACCTGCGTAATGTGCAGACCCGGACTATCCCAGAGTCTCCCAAGGCGACTGCTCTCTCCACGCGGTGTGTTTCTCACTCGGGCAGGGCAACCACCAGGGTTGCCCCTACAGATGATCAAGCCCAACCTCGGGTAGGCCTTAGCCACGAACCCCAATTCTTTTTCTTCCTTGACCCCCCTATACCCCTATGCTAGAGTGCCAGCGGAGAGGGCCAGGCAAAACCGGGTGACCGCCGCGGCGGGGGCAACCCAGCCGGGGAGGAAAGTCCGGGCTCCTCTGGACAGGGTGCTGGGTAACTCCCAGGCTTCTGCGGCAGCCTCACCGCTGCCCAGGGGACGGAAAGTGGCACAGAAACATACCGCCTCCGGCAAGAGCATTATGACGGGGGTAAGGTTGAAATCGGACGGTAAGAGCGTCCGGTCGTCTGCGGTGACGCAGCGACGGTCAAACCCCACCTGGAGCAAGGCCGAATAGGGGGACTATGGGTGTCCGGCTCGTCCCCGGGTTGGCTGCTTGACCCCGATGGTAACGTCGTCCGGCGCCTTTAAAAAGCGCCGACTTGCGGATTGCCCCAAAGGCGCTTCGCGAGGGGCTAGATAGATGGTCACCGTCTCTCCGGGCCCGCCGCCCATTCCCTAATTTCAGGCGGTCTGCGGAGGGATACAGAACCCGGCTTACAGGTTTTGCCAGCCCTCTTCCTCTTTTCATTTCTCTCACTTGACCAGGGTATTCCCTCAATAGACAGGAGACGACATGGTCCGAACCAACCTAACCAAGGCAAAAGTAAACGAAGGCCAGGTAGCCCTGGGCGCCAGCATCAATTTCTACTCCCCCGGCCTGGTGGAACTCTACGGTGTTATGGGGTTCGACTGGGTATGGATCGACTGTGAGCACGGCTCCTCCAACGACTCGGAAACGGAGAACATGGTGCGTGCCGCCGAGCTATACGACCTTACCCCCATCTGCCGCATACCAAACGCCTATCCTTCGACCATACTGAGATTTCTGGACCGGGGAGCGCAGGGCCTGATAGTGCCCCACATCTCAACACGGGAGGAAGCGGAAGGCGTCGCCCGTGCCTCGCACCACTACCCTGACGGCGACCGCAGCAGCGCTACCGGAGGCCGCACCAACCGGTTTGGCGCCGGACTGTCCACCCCCGAATACTATGCCGCCGCCAACCGTGAGGTGCTGGTCATCGTGATGATCGAGACCCCTGAGGCTGTTGAAAACGTGCGGGAAATCGCTTCGGTACCCGGCGTAGACGCCCTGCTGGTGGGCAGCAGCGACCTGACCCAGACCATGGGCATGGCCAGCGCCGCCGAACTGGACGCGGCCATTGATAAGGTAATTGAGGGTACCAAGGCCGAAGGCAAGGCCATCGGCGTGGCCGGAGCGGGTATGTCCCTCAACAACGTCTCGCGGTTCCAGCATTTTGCCAGCCGAGGTGTTCAGCTGATGTCCATCGGCGCCCAGGACATGATAAGGGCCGGTGGCGACAGCTTTTTGAAGACGATGCGGGGTTAGCAGCGGAGTCTCTAAATAGTCCGCGCAGAACCCTTCCGTGAATGCGTTGCAGGGGCAACCCTTGTGGTTGCCCTTGATTCTCGAGAGCAATAACGCTCACTCAAACCGGCCAACCTTAGCCATGGCCAGCCGCCCTGAGCTTGCCGAAGGGCTAAATCCATCCGACAGGGCCCGGTCTGTGTCCCGGGATTGGTAACCGGCCAGGGTTTCAGATTCTTCGGCTCCGCTCGGCATGATATACCTGCCGGTACGGTTGAAACGCCAGGACACGAGGGTGCTGACCTGGGTCGCTTCCTTCTCACAGGTTGCCGAAAACCGCCCCAAACGCTATCATTGTTCCCGAAGCCCGGAAGTCTTCTGACTACATCTGGCCTGAGCCGATTCTCCCCTGTGGTGGAAATCGGCCACAACAGGCCAGCCAGTTGATTGAGGAAATAATCCGCCTGATGTACCTGGACCTGCACAGCCACTCCGTTTCCTCCGACGATTCCCGCGCCACCGTTGAACAATACGTCAAATGGGTCCAGGTGCTGCGCAATAAGCGCGGCTACACCGTGGACGGCTTCATCCTGACGGAACACCGCAAGTTCGACTTCGACAAGGACTACTCCCAACTGGCTGCCGAGTACGACGTGCTCATCCTCAAGGGCTCCGAACTGGACACGCGCTACGGCCACTTCCTCGTTTACGGCGTAACCGAAGCCCTGGCCAACGAAATTGATCTGGCTAACGTGAGGATCGACGCCAGGGAATTGATGAAGGCCGCCAGCCACCATGGCGCCATCGCCATTCCAGCCCACCCGGGCCGCTTCGGCATTGGCCTCGTGGACTACATGGAGCAGGGCGAGACCTTTACCGACGTAAACATTGTGGAGCGGTTGAACGGGGGCAGCCGGGCAGGGGAAAACGAACGGGCCGACGTCCTGTGCCGTGACCAGAACTACCTGGGCACCGGCGGCAGCGACGCCCACCTGGCCAGCCACCTGGGGCGCTTGCATGACGTCGTTCCCACAAACCGTGAATAACGAGCGTGACCTGGTGGAGTCCCTGCTTTCTGGCGACTTTACGCCGGTCTGGCTGAAAGATACCGCGAGCAATTAGAGGCGTGGGGTAAGCCGGATTTGCCGGTCCCAACCAGCCGACGACGAACCCAATTGACAATCATCGGGAGATTCCAATGACAATGGAACTGGAGTACAACCGAGACCTCTACGGCGTGGAGCACGAGGCCGGGCCCTTCGAGGTTACCGCCGAACTCATTAGCACGTTCACTCGCAGCATCGGCGAAACCAACGCCATCTTTACGGAACAGGCCGCAGCACAGGCCGCCGGATACGCCGGGGTTTTGGCCCCTCCCACCCTCGTCACCATGCTGGTCCGAAACGTGGAACTTCCCGATATTGACCTCAAATTCGGCCGCGCCCGTTTCCACGCCGGACAGCGGGTCCAGTCCCGCTCCCCCATAGTGGCCGGCGACAGTCTGATGGCTTCCTCTCATCTGAAAGAGGTTTACCCCAAGACGGGGCGCAGCGGCACCATGGTCTTCACTGTATGGGAGACCACCTTCACCAACCAGGATGGCGTGGTGGTGGCCGACGTCCAGGAATCCTACGCGTCCCGGGAGTAAGTTAACCAATGGCGAACAGCAACGGTCCCTTTTTTGAAGACATTGAGATGGGCGATGAGATCGGCCCGGTCGAGTTGGTGGCCACCGACGAGAACGTGTCCACCTTCTGCGAACTGTGGGGCAACCCCATGCCCAACCGTTTTACCAGCCAGGAAGTTGCCGAGGCCGGTGGCCTGCCCGGCCCAATCGTGCCCGGGGTAATGAGCATGGCCATCATGAGCCAGGCCCTCACCGACTGGGCGGGAGCGGAGGCTTTGAAAGACCTCGACCTGGTGTTCCGGCAACCCGTGCCCCACAACAAGCCTCTCCTGATCTCCGCCACCGTTACAGATACCAGGCAGGAGGACGGCGAGAACCTCATCGAGTGCGACGTTTTGATGACGGGTACGGCCGGAGAACGCTACGTGGGCGGCACGGCCCTCATTGCCCTGCCCAGCAGCGGCGGGTAGAAGAAATACCCCCTGGGTACCACCAACAGTGGCCGCAGGCAAAGCGGGTAGAGAGGAAGCGAAAGAAATGTACGACCTCAGCGGAAAAGTAGCCATAGTTACCGGTGCCGGCGGCCGTCACGGTATTGGCCGCGCCATTGCCACCCGCCTGGCCCGTGAAGGGGCCGACGTGGTAGTAACCGACGTAACCCAGTCCCTGGATGCCATCCGCACCGAGGACCGGTTGGAAGGCTGGGAAGGTCTTCCCAGCGTCGTCAAGGAAATTGAAGCCGAGGGACGACAATCCCCTGGGTCTCTTCTCCGATGTGTCCGACAGCGCCCAGGTAGACGATATGGTTAGCCAGGTGCTGGACCGGTTCGGAAAGATAGACATCCTGGTGAACAACGCCGGTTCCCGGCCCGGCCGCGACCGTGTCCTTGTCGTGGACCTGGAAGAGGATGCCTTCGACGAGGTAATGCGAGTCAACGTACGGGGCACCTACCTGTGCTCCCGGGCCGTGGCCCGTCACATGGTGGCCCGCGATCAGGCTGGCAACGGGTGGCAAGATCATCATCATCTCCTCGGGCGCTGGCAAGCGGGGCATTGCCCGTTACGGCGTCTATTGCGCCTCCAAGTTCGCCCTGGTCGGCTTCACCCAGGCCCTGGCCCAGGAAATGGCTGCCCACCGGGTCAACGTCAACGCCATTTGCCCCGGTTTGGTGGACACGGAGCGGGTGGACTTCATCGCCGCCGCCCTGGCCTCCGAGGGGGAGTCCGCCGAGGAACACCGGGCCCTGATGGTGCAGGAACGGTCCACCCGGGTGCCCATGGGCCGCATTGCCCAGGGCGACGACATCGCCAATATGGCCGCATTCCTGTCGTCCTCAGAGTCGGACTACATGACCGGCCTCTCCATCAGCGTGTCCGGCGGCTCGGAAATGAACTAAGGGGTAGAAGAGGCAGATACCAACTCTTGGGATAAATATGCAGGGGCAGCCACAAGGGCTGCCCGCTTCGATAACGATCCAACCATCCAACCAATCCAGTAGCAGTAGTACAGAAATTTACCAACCGGAGTAACTATGCCCCTGGAACGTTCCGAAGTCGAACACATCGCCGCCTTGGCCCGCATCGGGTTGACCGAAGAGGAAATGGCAACTTTTCAGGAGCAGTTGTCCGCCATCCTCGACCAGTTCGAGTTGCTGAAACAGTTGGACACCAGCGCGGTGATGCCGACCGGTCACGCAGTGGAAGTGAACTCGGTCATGCGTGACGACGTGCCGGGCGAACCGCTCAGCGCCGAAGACACACTGCGGAACGCGCCCCGGAGACAGGACGACTTCTTCCGGGTAAAGGCGGTATTGGAGGAGTAAGCCCCTTGTCCGAACTCTGGCAATTGACCCTGCACGAGGCCCGGGCCGGATTGGACTCCGGGTCTTTCAGCGCCGTGGAACTAACCAGGTCCTGCTTTGACCGGATAGCCCAGGTGGAGGACCGGGTCAAGGCCTACGTCACCCTTACCGAATCCCACGCCCTGCAGCAGGCGGAGGAAGCTGACCGGTTGCTGGCTGCTGGTAGTGGTGGCCCCATGACCGGCATTCCGGTGCAGGTCAAGGACCTGATCTGCACCAAGGGCATTCTCACTACCTGCTCGTCCCGCATGCTGGAAAACTACGTGCCGGTGTACGACGCCACAGTATCGGAAAAGCTGTTCGGCCAGGGCGCCGTCCTTTTGGGTAAGGGCAACATGGACGAGTTCGCCATGGGCTCGTCCTGCGAAAACTCTGCCTTCTTTCCCACCCACAATCCCTGGGACCTGAATCGCGTGCCAGGCGGCAGCAGTGGAGGCGCCGCGGCCTCGGTGGCCGCCGATGAAACCATCGTTGCCTTGGGCTCGGACACCGGGGGCAGCATTCGTCAGCCGGCTTCCCTGTGCGGCGTGGTGGGCCTGAAGCCCACCTATGGACGGGTCAGCCGGTACGGCCTCGTGGCGTTTGCTTCGTCTCTGGACCAGATTGGGCCCGTGGGCAAGGACGTGATGGACTGTGCCATCACCCTCAACGCCATCGCTGGTTACGACTCCAGGGACTCCACGTCCCTGAACCTGCCGTCCACTGACTTCACAGCGGGGCTGACCGGCGACATTAAAGGAGTCAGGATAGGCATTCCCAGGGAATACTTTGTAGAGGGAATGGAGCCGGGAGTTCGCTCGGCCGTGGAAACGGCTATCAAGGAACTGGAGGGCTTGGGCGCCTCGGTGGAACCCGTGTCCTTGCCCACCACCGAATACGCCCTGGCCTGCTACTACATCATCGCCCCGTCTGAGTGCTCGGCCAACCTGGCCCGCTACGACGGCGTGAAATTCGGCTATTCCTACCAGGACACCCCGGATATGTGGAAGGCCATGGAAACCACCCGCCAACTAGGGTTTGGGCCGGAAGTGAAGCGACGAATTATGCTGGGCACCTACGCCCTGTCCGCCGGCTACTATGACGCCTACTACCTCAAGGCCCAGCAGGTGCGCACCCTCATTCGCCAGGACTTTGACCGGGTCTTCGAACAGGTAGACGCCCTGGTGACACCCACTTCGCCGGTAGTTGCTTTCCCTTTGGGGGAAAAGATGGCCGACCCGCTGCAGATGTACCTGATCGATGTCTGCACCCTGCCCATCAACATCGCCGGCCTGCCAGCTATGTCTGTACCCTGCGGCTTTTCCGAGGGACTGCCGGTGGGGATGCAGCTTATCGGCCCCCACCTGTCCGAGGAGCGCCTGCTGAACATGGCCTATGCTTACGAGCAGGCCACCGAGTGGCACAAGGCCAGGCCGGGGATTTAGGTTGCTGCAGGAAACTCGGCGGTCGGCTTACCGCCCGGCCCCCAACCGGTGGCTGTTGAACATTAGGCCGGATTCCCTGCACGATCAGCGCCAATGGGCCAGGTTATGATTACCCGGCTCAGTACTTCACTTTCCTGGATGAACCGTGATGCCAGGCTGATAACCCTGGCCCGTGGGATCCGTACTTTCTCCCAGAGCTTCATTGCCGTCATCATAGCAATCTATCTCGCTGAATTGGGCTTCAGTCTGGTGCAGATTGGCGCGGTCCTTACCGTGGGGGTTGCCGGAGTTTCATTCTTTGCGCTGGTGGTGGGAATAGTCAGCGAAAGAGTAGGTCGACGGCGTCTTCTGGTCGTCTTTTCCCTGTTGGCGGCGGCGGCCGGACTGGCAATGTACTTCACCGAAGCCTTTATTCCGCTACTGGCCATCGCCTTCCTGGGAAGCCTGTCCACGGGCGGCGGCGGTGGAGAGAGCCCGGCGCAACCCCTGGAAGTTGCCATTCTCCCGGATACCGGCCCTCCCGAAAGGCGCACCGATATTTTCGCCGTTTACAGCATTGTTGCCCGCACCGGGACCTTTCTGGGCGCGCTGGCCGCGGGCATCCCGGTCCTGTTACAGGAAGCTCTTGGCCTGTCCCTTCTGTCGTCCTACCAGACAATGTTTCTGGGCTTTGCTTTGTGCCAACTGGCCGGGGCGGCGCTGTACCTCTTTGTCTCGTCGGGGGTGGAAGGGGCAACCATCCGTCAGCAGTGGCAAAACCCGTTGAAGCTGCCGTCGCGGCGAAGAATTTTTACCCTGATCTCCCTGTACAGCGTGGATACATTTACCACCTCCATGGTGATGCAGAGCCTGGTGGCCTACTGGTTTTATACGAAATTCGGGTTGACAGTCGAATCTCTGGCGCTTGTGTTTTCGTTGTCACATTTCCTGACGGCATCCTCACTGTGGATAGCAGCGAAGATATCAAACCGAATCGGACTGCTGAACACCATGGTATTCACCCATATCCCCTCCAGCTTCTTCCTGCTGGCCGCAGCCTTCGCACCCACAGCCACACTGGCGATAGTGTTCTGGCAATGCCGCGCCTTCTTGAGCCAGATGGATGTTCCCACCAGGGACTCATACAATATGGCGGTGATCAATTCTGAGGAACGGGTTGCCATGGCCAGCATTAACATGGTGAGTCGAAGCGCCGCGGGGGCACTTGGCCCTTCGGTGACCACGGCTATCTGGAACATCACCGCTGCCTGGACACCGCTGGTAGGCTCCGCTCTCCTAAAGATTGGATACGATCTTTCGCTATATTTCATGTTCCGCAATGTCCGGCCGCCGGAAGAAGAGGAACGTTTCCGGAACCGCCGCCAGGCTTAAGAGCCCCTCTGTCCCTGCACAAGGGCACTGGAATCCTGTACGGGCTTCGGGGACTTCCCTGACCAGACTGCCCTTTCCCTCCCAGTCCCTCGGTGCTAGAATCGGGGCAGTTGGCCTATGGGGAGGCACGTTATGCAGCGTACCAGAGTTAAAGACATTTTCGATCGGGAGACTGCCGGCGGAGAAGTCCTGGTGCAGGGCTGGGTCAAGACCCGGCGTTCTTCGGGCGCGGTTTCCTTCATCCAGATCAGCGACGGGTCCACCCTTAAAGACCTGCAAATCGTGGTGGAGCAGTCGTCGCCTGATTACCCCCTTGTGGAAACCCTTAATACTGGGTGCAGTGTTTGCGCTACCGGGGAGTTGGTGGAGTCCGAGGGCCGTAACCAGAAGTACGAAGTAAAGGCCAGCAAGCTGGAAGTCCTGGGGCAGGCGGACCCGGAGGAATACCCTCTCCAGAAAAAGCGCCATACCCTGGAATTTCTGCGGGAGATTGCGCACCTGCGGCCGCGGACCAACACCTTTGGGGCCATGGCCCGGGTACGCAACACCATGGCTTATGCCATCCACAGCTTCTACCAGGAACGGGGCTTCCAGTACATCCAGACCCCGATGATCACCGCCAGCGATGCCGAGGGCGCCGGTTCCATGTTCCGGGTCACCACCCTGGACCTGCAGGACCCTCCCCGCCAGAACGGCCTGGTAGACAGCACCGAGGATTTCTTCGGCCAGCCCACCTATCTAACCGTCAGCGGGCAGCTGGAAGCGGAGATTTTCGCCCTGGCCCTTTCCGATGTGTATACCTTCGGCCCCACCTTTCGGGCTGAGAACTCCAACACCTCCCGCCACCTGGCCGAATTCTGGATGGTGGAGCCCGAGGTGGCTTTCTGCGACCTGGACGGGCTGGCCGAGCTGGCCGAGGACTTCCTGAAGTTTGTTTTCAGCCAAGCCCTGGACAAGTGCCCCGAGGACATGGCCTTCTTCAACCAGTGGTACGACAACACCGCCATCTCCACCCTGGAGGGGATAATCAACTCCAGCTTCGAGCGGCTGACCTACACCGAGGCGGTAAAGCTGCTGGAAAGCTCCGGTGAGAGCTTCGAGTTCCCCGTGTCATGGGGCCTGGACCTGCAGTCGGAGCACGAGCGGTATATCACTGAGAAGCGGGTGGGAAAGCCCGTGGTGGTTACCGACTACCCCAAGGACATCAAGGCCTTCTACATGCGCATGAACGACGATGGGGAGACGGTGCGGGCCATGGACGTGCTGGTACCGCGCATCGGCGAGATCATCGGCGGCAGCCAGCGCGAAGAACGTCAGGACGTCCTGCTGGACCGGATGAAGCAGGCGGGCCTGGACGCAGAAACCTACTGGTGGTACCTGGACCTGCGCCGCTACGGCACCGTCCCCCACGCCGGTTTCGGCCTGGGCTTCGAGCGCACGGTGCAGTTCGCTACAGGTATGCAGAACATCCGCGACGTTATCCCCTTCCCCAGGACGCCCAATAACGTGGAGTTTTAAGGCGTGAAAGGACAGACCCGGAATTAAGAATCAACCCTTGCTGATGCTCTCGGCCAAAGCATGAGATATGAAGGCAGTGGCAACCAAACGACCACCACCAACGGCCAGGAAAGTTTCCTCCGAGCACTGAAGGACCCCCCCAGTGGAAAGAGGCCGCGCACACCACGATTTGGGTGAAGAGGTCCTGTAATTGCCGGCCCAGTTCAACGCCTTCATGGAACGGGCCGGGGCCCTCATGGTGGACCAGACCGAAATCAAGGATTGCCCCCGCCCGACTCGTGGTCCCCAGCGCCCGCAGTGATGACGAGATGGCCGAAGATATAACGTCCGGGTATATGGGCTGGTGCCAGATCACCCGGCAGCAGATGGCGCGCTAGCGGATATGTGCCGGAATCGGCCTAAAGGAAGCGTATGACATGTGGGAGACTGATTTTGGCGGACCTGGCTTCAACGTCTTTATCATCGTCGTCTTGTTGGTATTTCTCTCCATTCCGGTAGTTATCGGGGTTGCGGTGGGAGGCTTGGCCGGCATGATAATGCAGGGGGGCGGATTCGGCTACGGGACGCTTATGGGGTTCGTGTTTGGCGCCGTCTCCATTCCGCTCAATCTGCTGCTAACCTTGTCCTACTTCAATGCGGACTCTGACCCATTCATGCTGTGGGTCATAGCAATCCCGGTGTCAGCCCTGCTGGTTATCGTCGCCCCGATAGCCGCCGTCAAGCGAAGGGCGGCGGCGCGCGGTTTGCTACGGGAAAGCGGAACACCCGCAACGTAATCCCCCTCCCACGAACGCCTAAGAACGTGAAGTTTTGGAAGATTCGCTCGTCTTTGGTAACTGAATAGGGAAACTCAAAGGCCACCCGTCAGTTGGGTGGCCTTTGAAATGGGTGACGCTTGAGAAGCGTCAGATTTGAGCTATTTTTTTTGAGGATTGTTACCCCTTCCTCCACCTGACTTTTTGCCTGTTGTACTCGGAGCGTTAGCGGGTCTGGTTCCTCCACTTTTTCCACCGCCTCCCTTTCCACCGCCGCTTCCTCTTCCGCCTCTCATCACTGGGGTTGCCATACTCATATAAACTACCCTCCTTTAGAAGATATACCGCGAAACTTGGGGTTAACCTTTTGTGCGAACTTTTAATTACACAGCATACTACATCGTAGTCCAAAGTATTATTTGCCTGGTTAGTACGGTCGCTTGGGCGGCCTGACGGGTAGGGCCAGGGCAAGCACAAGGGTTGCCCCTACAAATGTGGATGGCCGAACACCAATGCCGAAAGTTGCTCCTAATTCGCTTTATTGACTCCCTATCTACCCCTTAATATAATGGGGCAGACTTCAAGACTAACCTGGTCCGGTAAGGAGACATAATGACGACCTATGAATCAGTGCTGCATCCGCCGGCTATTGTTGCCGAGCTGAAAAAGAACAACATTTCCCATGTGGTCTGGCTGCCGGACAGCGAGACCAATTTCATGTATCAATTGCTGACCGAGGAAGAATCTCTGGACCTCGTCCCCGTTTGCCGCGAGGGCGAGACCATGGCCATCGCCGCCGGCTTGTGGGTCGGCGGAAAGCGGCCCATCGTACTGATCCAAAACACCGGCATTTTTGAGTCCGGCGACTCCATTCGGGGGCTGGGCCTGGACATCAACCAGCCGCTGGTGATGCTGGTTGGCTATCGTGGCTGGAGCCGCCACGGAATTACCAGCGACTCTGCCGCTCGCTTTATCGAGCACATTCTCCACGCCTGGGGCATTAGCTACTACTTGATCGAGACTGACGACGACGCCGATCGCATCAGCACGGCCATCGCAGAAGCAGAACGCACCCATAAGCCGGTAGCCGTCCTGGTGGGCACCGAGTTCGGAGCCTAATTCGGCGCCCAGTTTTCGGCCACAATGGGCCAAGAAGAAAGGAGCAAGGAATATGATCAATAATACCGATGCCGTAAGGCTGATTGACAGTAAGCGGGAGGACTCCATCATAGTCCCCACGATGAACGCTAACAACGTGGGTTTTGGCCTGCCCAGTGTAACCACCGGCCAAAGCCTGGACCTGCCCTTGTCCGGCGCCATGGGCAAAGCCTCCAACCTGGGTTTGGGGTTGGCCCTGGCCCAGCCGGACCGCAAGGTCATGGTTTTGGACGGCGATGGCAGCCTTCTGATGAACCTGGGGGCGATGGTGACATCAGCCAACAAGGGAGTTAAGAACTTCTACCACTTCCTGTTCAACAACAACGTATATGCTGTGACCGGCGGACAGCCCATTCCGGGCTCCGAGTGCTCCGACTGGGAAGGCATGGCCAAGGCGGCTGGTTACGCAGCGGTCTTTTCCTATGACAACCTGGAGGACTTCACCAACGGAATCGACGAAGTGCTAAGCGCCGTGGGCCCGGTATTTGTCCACCTGGCCGTGGAGCCGCAGGTCGAGAACACGCCTGTCCAGTTCCGCACCCGCTCGCCGCGCTCTGTAGCTATGGCATTCAGGGAGGTACCTGAGGCCTTGGGCGTCAGTCCCACATAAGTTGCCGACAAGAAAGGGCATCGCTCCCCTAAACGGCTTTGATGACCCTGGAACAAGGACAATCAACCGAGGCGACCGCTTGATAGTCGCCTCGGTTTCTCTTATATTGGGCTAGCCCGAAGTTCAAAGAGCCGGCAACCTGTAAACGGGCTGCCTTCATCCCGGAGTACAAATAGCGATTGCTTAAAGACCTGAGCAGAAGCCTGCTGGGACGCTTGTTGAGCCTGGGCATATTTATCCTGGGCTTCTGGATTCTTTACCAGGGCCTTCTGCGTGACGATAATCCATTGCTGCTGGGATTGGGTGTTGTCGTAGGCAGTGTGTTGATCCTCGGTGGCCTATACTTGATGGCTACTACCCGCCGCCTGGCAGCGCGCTCGGCGGCACAGCGGGAACAGGAATTGGAGGAAACGACCGGTGATTCCCTCGACGGAAGCGGCAAGAGCGATTAATTACCACCGCAAGGATGCCCTGGTGGTGTCCACCTCGTCAGCCCTAAGGGACTGGACGCAGGTTTCGGAGCATCGGGAGCTGGACGTAGACCTCACCGACTGCATGGACCGGGCTCCGGCCGTGGGCCTGGGCCTCTCTCTGGCCCAACCGGACCGTAAGGTGCTGGTCCTGGACTGCGACGCCACGCTGCGTACTGACCTGGGTTCGCTGGCCACCATCGGGGAGTCCAAGCCGGACAACCTGGTCCACTTCGTATTTGACGACGTGACCTACTCTTCAACCGACGGCATTCCGGTCCAGGGTCTGGACAACGTCAACTTTCTGGCCATGGCCCAAGGCGCTGGCTACAGTCGGACCTTCAGCTTTGATGCCCTGGAAGAATTTCTGATCGGCCTGGAAGATGTCATGAAGGAATCGGGCCCGGTGTTTGTGCTGATCAAGGTATTGAGGACCGAAGACTTGCCGCCTTTCCCGGAACGGCGCATGGCCGACGGCTGGGCCGAAGTACGGGAAACGCTGCTGGCAAGCGGGCAGGAGTCAGTGCCGGCGGCTTGTCCATCGGTGGGTGACTATCTACGCACCCTGGATGAACTGGGCATGGACACCGATCAACTGTGGCCGAACTTGGGCCATTCTGGCCGAACAATGCGAAAAAAGAGCGGAAGGCGTTTCTCGGGGCTTTATTTCAATCAATGGCAGGGAGTCTGCTATTTCACTCTCGATCCACGGGTCTCCGACATGGTAATCGACTGGAATCTCTGGCAAGACGTGCCGCCCGCAATAACGGTGCCCCCACACGACCTCGACAAGTATAACTTTGTGCCGAAGCAGGGGCTGGAAAGAGAGGCTCTGCAGAGCCTGCTGGGGTAAGGCTACTCCGCTGGCCGCACCACAATCTGGTGGGCCACGCTAAAGCCCATGGACACCTGTTCCCTCGGAGTGGCGACCGTCATTACCCCCAGGTAGGCGGTAGCTTCCGCCACGCTTACCCGGCTTTCCGGAATAATCTGAGCGCCGTCCAAAAACCGAAGCAGGTTTGAGTCTTCCTCGGGTATGCGCTCAATTATGTACTCAGTGCCCTTAACCGCCGAGTCCAGGGTAATGCAGTTGGCAGGAAGCTGGGGCGCGCCGGCCCCGGGGATGGGACGTCCGAAAGGAGACTTCTCCGGATATCCCAGCCGCTCCCTCAGTTTCGCTTCCAGTTCCCCGGAGATTCCATGCTCCAGACGGTGGGCCTCAATATGGGCGCAATGCAGGTCCATGCCAAGCAGCCTGACCACCAGCCACTCCGCCAAACGGTGTCGACGGGCGATGTCCTCGCCGCCTTCAAACCCCTTGCCGGTAAGCCTGATTCGCTTGTCAGAGCCCACATCAACCAAGCCCTGCTTCTGCATACGACGGGTCATCCCGGCTACAGAAGGTACGGAGGAACCCAGTCCTTCGGTGGGGGGCAGTTGCTTTATGGCATCGGTCAACTGGGTAACCGTTGGAGTAACCGAATCTTCCCACAGCCTGTAAAGACAGAGCAGATAGTTCTCCGTAACCGCCGAGAATCTATCCAGGCCGTCTGCTTCTTCATGGTCAGCCGTTCTGTCGGCGCGGGAAACAGCCCTCCTTGACCTTGGCATAGGAATTACCTCTTGAGACATTGGCAGGTCCCTTCCCGGGTGCCGACGGGGACTGCCAATAAAGTGAATAGATAGTTGGGTATGGGTCGATTATACAACGGGGCCGGAGCTTGTGGTAGGCAGAAAAAAGAGGGAGCAGTACGGGTAACCGCTGAGGGTTGGAAACAGGGACTAGCCTGCCAGGGCCACTCCATCCACAAACGGCTTGAGAGAATGGCCGCACCGGACGTGGACGGCAACCCTTTCCCCCAATTCGTATTCGTCAGCATGGGACAAGAGGCAGCGGACGGATCCGCCGCTATTAAGGACAATCCGGTACAGGAAGAAAGCGCCCCGAAATTCCCGGTCTGCCACCACACCGTTGCCATCTTCCGAGGGATAGCACTCCACGCAGTCCGGACGCACCATCGCTTCCAAGATACCCTCGGCAGAGGGAGGCGTGGGCCATCCGGTGCTTCCTATAGCAGTAACAAACTGGGCGTCTTCCCATTGGGCCGGCACAAAGTCCACCATGCCGATAAATTCTGCTACGAACTTGCTTTGCGGCTGGTGGAAAATGTCGTGGGGTGTACCCTGCTGTTCGATCTTGCCCCGGTTCATTACGGCGATGGTATCGCCCACGTACATGGCTTCTTCCTGGTCGTGGGTCACAAATACGGCGGTGATGCCACTGCCGCGCAGAATGCCCATCACGTCGCGGCGCACCTGTTCCCTCAGGCCCGGATCCAGGTTGGAAAAGGGTTCGTCCAGCAAGAGCAATTCAGGGCGTGGAGCAAGGGCCCGCGCCAGGGCCACACGCTGCTGCTGACCGCCGGAGAGTTCGTAGGGCATGCGCTGGGTCAGGCCCTCCAGCCCGGTCATTCGGACGACCTCGTCAATTCTTTCCGCTCGATTGTCTTCCTTGGACAGTCCGTAAGCGATGTTCTGCTCGACGGTCAGATGGGGAAAGAGAGCGCCTTCTTGGAATACCATGCCAACCCGGCGCTTTTCCGGGGGTACGCTCCGCCTGTCTTCATGTACCGACTCACCGGCGATGCGGATGGAACCGGCATCCGGATGAGAAAATCCGGCAATCAACCTGAGGGCTGTAGTCTTCCCGCAACCGCTGGACGGACCACCGAGCACAGGCCACATCTGACCTGGGAAAAGAAATCTGCAGGTTGTTGTTTTGTGATGTGTTGAATGTGGGAAAACCGCTCAGAGCAACCGCATCGCCAAATTGCTTCGTGACGCCAACGCATTCCAGCATGAAAGGCTCACAGGACGACGGTGTGTCCCACCCTAAGCCTGCCTGATCGGAATATCCGACGGGTTCCTGCTCAATCCCAGCCGTATCGTATTGAAGTTCCCGTAGTGAAAGTTCTGTGCTTGATACACTCTTCGTCTCCGCGGTTACAATCGGCCTCATCCATCAGCCGCGCAAGCTACACAAGATCTCTCTCTCCCGAAGCCCTAATCACTCGTCGTCCCCTCCCGTATCTAACATTGCACCCAATTAAGCTCTACCAATATTAAGGCCTTTGTTGGACAATTGCAATAGTATGCCTGCATTAGTTTTTCTACTAACCCTCGTTTCGCCCTTGAGCCTTTAGTAACATTGTCTTGAGGCCAATAAGGCTTTCAAGCAAGTATCCTCAATTGCAAACAATTGCAATTTATCCACTTGTGCAACGGTGGAATATACAGGGCCATCCGGCCTCTTTCCTGCACTTCAGGCTTCCCACATTTCGCTCGGGCAAGCATTCCCTTCCCCGGTATTCCTGTTTCCCTTGCCCCCGCAATGACATCCCTTTACGCTTATGCTTTCTTTGGCATGGAATGCCTCAATAGATAGTATTTTGCTGCCGATTACATGGGAGACCGTTCCTGGTTTCCGGACACAAACTCACCGCATCATTGTTGACACACTGGCAACTAAATGTTAACGTCTTACAAGTTTGCAAAGTGTTACTTATTTATAAAGCAAGTATATACTAATTAACTGCAATTACTTGTGCGCGTCCACTGCTCCTACCTGTCCTCCTTTCCAGGAAATGGAGGCGGACGCGTCTCCCCTTAAATGCCGGACACGCTGACATCCAGGACTAGCAAAACGGAGGGCAAGATGACCAGAGTTTGCCTTTATAGCCGTGGCCTGTGGATGACCATGCTAGCAGTGGCGCTATTGACGGTACTTGTAGGTGCGTGTACCCGTGAGGTTGTGAAGGAAGTTCCCCGGGAAGTAATAGTTGAAAAAGAAGTGGTGGTGGAAAAGGAAGTGGTCAGGGAAGTCCCTGTGATAGAGGTGGTTGAGAAAGAAATAGTTCGAGAAGTACCGCATGAGACGATTTTCGTGCAGGATGCCGACTCGGGAGAACTCGTTATCTATTCCGGTCGCAGCGAGTCCCTGGTTGACAACATCATTCAACAATTCGCCGAGGCCTCCAGAATTGAGGTAGAGGTCAGATATGCCAATACCGGACAGTTGGCCGCCACCCTGTTGGAAGAGGGGAATAACTCCCCCGCCGATGTCTTTTTTGCCCAGGAACCCGGCGGTCTGGGCGCAGTCGAGTCCATGCTGGCTCCCCTCCCTGCCAGCATCCTGCAACAGGTCCCCGACTGGGCTCAATCACCCGAAGGCAAATGGGTGGGCATTTCCGGGCGGGCCCGCGCGGTGGTCTATAACTCCGAGAAGCTAACCGAGGCTGACTTGCCCGACGATATGTTTGGGTTTACGGACCCGGCGTGGAAAGACCGCATCGGCTGGGCCCCCACCAACGCCTCATTCCAGACCATGGTGACCGCCATGCGTTCCCAGTGGGGGGATGAGAAGACCCGGCAATGGCTGGAGGGCATCGCAGCCAACAACGCCAAGGTTTATCCCAAGAATACGCCTCAGGTAGCTGCCGCCGCCGCCGGGGAGATTGAGGTTGGATTCGTCAACCATTACTACCTTTTCCGTTTCCTGGCGGAAGAGGGAGAGGATTTCCCGGCCCGCAATTACCACCCTCGGGCCGGCGGCCCCGGTTCCATTGTGATGGTGGCTGGCGCAGGTATCCTCTCCACCGCCGAGAACCCCGAGAGCGCGGCAAAGTTCCTTCAGTTCATGCTGTCTCCGGTGGCGCAACAGTATTTCGCCAGCCAGACCTTCGAGTATCCGCTGGTGGAAGGCGTGAAGACCCAGCGTGTGTTGACACCCCTGGCGGAGATAGTCAAACCCGACCTTTCCGCGGGAGACCTGGCTGACCTGGAAAGCACTCAGAAGTTATTGCAGGATACGGGAGTTCTGCCATAATGGGCTGAATCTTCAAGTGAGCGTTCTCCTTGACCCCATTTCTGGCCAAGATCGTCAGTCCCTTACTGGCCCTGACCGGTAGCAGGGAAGGACCAGCGGCAATCCTGTGGGCGCCGGCCCTGGTAATCGGCGCCCTTTTGCTGCTATCGCCGATTTACCTGGCCCTCCGTTCCCTGGGTGCAGGACAGGAATTCTGGGACGCCCTGTTGCGGTGGCGGGTGCTGGAGATCCTGGTACGCACCCTCTTGCTGGTGGGGGCAGTAACCGTCGCCTCCATAGCTATTGCCCTGCCCCTGGCCTGGCTGACGGTACGTACCGACCTGCCCCTGGCCCGGATCTGGGGCATACTGGTTACCCTTCCCCTGGTAATTCCCAGCTACGTGGCCGGCTTTGCCGTAGTGGTGGCCTTGGGGCCCCGGGGAATGCTGCAAGGCTTCCTGGAGAACCTGATCGGGCTGGAGCGACTGCCCGACATCAACGGCTTCCCCGGCGCGATGCTGACCCTCACCTTCCTGAGCTATCCCTACGTGCTCCTCACTATTCGCGCCGCCCTGCAGCGGCTGGATCCTTCCCTTGAGGAGTCATCCCGCGGACTGGGCTACAACTGGCGGACTACCTTCCGGCGGGTGGTGGTTCCCCTGCTGAGGCCGTCGATAGCTGCCGGTGGCCTGCTGGTGGCCCTCTATACCCTGAGCGATTTCGGGGCAGTGTCCCTGCTGCGTTACGAGACCTTCACCTTGGCTATATTTGTCCAGTACGAATCGGCTTTGGACCGCACACTGGGCGCCGCCTTTTCCCTGGCTCTGGTGGCGCTGGCCCTGACATTCCTGCTGGGTGAATACTACACCAGGGGGCGTTCCCGCTATTACCGGGTGGACCAGGGGGTGGCCCGCCCGGCCCAGGTAGTACCACTGGGGGCCTGGCGCTGGCCGGCGGCAGGGTTCTGTGGCTTGATAACCCTCGTTGCCCTGGTATTGCCCCTGGCCGTGCTGGTTTACTGGGTGGTGCGAGGGGTAAACGCTGGTGAGCCTCTCTTGCTGCTCTGGGAGGCTGCCGGAAACTCCCTGTTCATCTCCGGATTGGCCGCTCTGGCTGCCGTACTCGCTGCCTTTCCCATTGCGACACTGTCCGTCCGGTATCCGGGGACGTTCAGTTCCCTGCTGGAACGGATTACCTATGTGGGGTTTGCGCTGCCGGGGATAGCGGTTGCATTGGGGCTGGTCTTCTTCGGGGCCAACTTTGCCCGTTTTCTCTACCAGAACCTGAGTTTGCTGATCCTGGCTTATGTAATACTCTTCCTGCCGACCGCCGTGGGTTCGACTCGCACCTCTATCCTGCAGGTCAATCCCAGGGTGGAAGACGCCGCCCGCAGCCTGGGCAGGGCTCCGTTACAGGTCTTCACCTCCATCACCTTGCCCCTGGTGAGGCCCGGCCTGTTGTCCGGTGCGGCGCTGGTGTTCCTGCTAACGATGAAGGAACTGCCGGCCACGCTCATTTTGCGGCCCACGGGCTTTCCCACCCTGGCAACTTCCATCTGGAGCGCGGCGTCCGAAGCCTTCTTTGCCCAGGCCGCGGCCCCGGCCCTGCTGCTGGTGCTGGCCTCCTCGGTGCCCCTGGCCTTCTTGATGCTGCGGGAGCGGCGGTAGGGGTTTGTCTAAAA